TCTTTCTGTTGAACACCCATGCCCTATAGCAAAAACCTCTAAAAAAAAAAAAAAAAAAAAGAGGTGGGGCCTCTGAGAGGTGATTGAGATTGGATAAAGTGATTGGGTAGCCCCACCCCCAGACTGGGGGGTTTAGGAGGAGAGAATGGGACAGACACAATCTCTGCTGTGGCCTGTGTTCTCTGCCTTTCCCATGTAAACCACAGCAAGAAAACCCTCACCCAGATGCAGTCCCTTGACCCTGGACCTCCAAAACTATGAACTAAATAAACCTCAATTTTCTTAATCACTCATACTCAGGTAATTCTGTTATCAGTTACCAAAATGACTAGAACAGAAAGGTAGTCAGAAATCAGATCATGTGGGCTCTTTCAGGTCATGGTAAGGGGTAAGGAATTGGTAATATATTCTACACATTAAGACCGTTTAGGGAACACAGCATTGGTTCTCTAAATAAGAAAATGACATGCTTAAAGTAAACCAAAGCATGGAATTTTGTTAATTTAACTGTATGAATAGGTAACACTCTCAAATAGTTAAATATATGTAAGAGCAAATATCTTCTCCCTTGTTTATTCACATCCCATAGCCATCCCTTCTTTCTCCTCTCAATCACTGCTATTGATTCCTTCTGTATGCTTTTAGAGTATTTAATTTATACACACATGAATATCCTCCCAGACTATCTATCTATATACATCAAGTAGCAATATACAATTGCCCTTCTTTCTGCATAGGTGTCAGTTACAGCATACACATCATACATACTCATTTACATTCTATTTTACTTGATAATATATCTTGCAGATCTAAGAATGCTTCTCCCCCAAATGCCTGAGGGGTCATGTGTACATGTGTGTGAGAGAGACAGAAAGAAAGAGCACCTCTCCGGGGACTGGTCATGCCTTAATCCTTTCTCCTCCATTCTGTTAGGACTTTTGTGTACATACGCATACATGCATAGCATATTTTTCAAGTCACTGGGTCTCAGACTTCAACTGTATGGTGAGCCACGTGAGACCTGGCTCCCTTAACCACTTGGCCCTGGGCTGGCCCATGAATGATTTTCATATATGAATCTTGCATATGGAAAATGTAGAATTGCTGGAATTCTGAAATTTGTAGTTTTTATGTATTTTGAAAGATATTTCTAAAGATATTGCCTGGAGTCCACATGATAAAACACAATTAAAAGTCCTGGTCCCAGTGACTTGAGTAACATGCTAAGCACATGTACATCATGTGAGTATACGTGGCATTCTGATGAGACTGAGAAATGCAGGAAAAGAGACTGTGGTGTGATCATGCCCCACTCGGGGGTTTCTCTTTCTTTAGCAAATGTTCACATCTTCGGGCAATTAAAAAAATTAAAAATAAAAAAAAATTCCTACACATTTTCTAAAGAATTTTGAGCTCAAAAAAACCTTAGTGTAAACTTAGTTTTTGAAGCAAAAATAAAGTTCATTCATAAAATTAACTGAAAAGAGTTGTGTTTGACAGATCAAATAAAACCCTCCAAAGCTATGTTCTAACTGGTAAGATTCTTCATAGAGGAAAATTCTATTCAAATTAAAGTCTGGTATTAAATAATAGGTATTTTTTTTTTTTAGAGGTTTTTGCTATAGGACACATGCGCTTGCCAGAGAGACAGAGACAGAAAGTGAGAAATCATAGCCCAGGGGGATGGCCACACCTCAATCCCTTCTCCTTTATTCTCCTCTCAGGATCTTGGGCACACAAACACACAAGCACCCGGCGTGAGTTTAAGCCACCGGGTCCGGGACTCTAACCGCGGTCGACTACATTGGGGTCCAGTGAAACAGCCATTATGCTAACTGCTGGTCCCAATAATAGGTAATTTCTAAAGTAATGTCAGTGGTGGTAGTAGTGATAATTTAGAAATTAGTTTTTTACAAGGGAAATGGAAGCTTAGAAGGAATCAGGAACATGCCAAAGATCACTCATCTAAGTCATTAATAAACCCTAATCTGCTGACTCCAGAGCCCAAGCTGTTAGTCGCTGAGATAATGCCTACAACACTGGGGAGTTTCACAGGTTCAGTCAAAACAAAAGATAATGGGCTCTGGGTATTTCCTCTCACTCTACCATTTACCAGCTATATAAACGGCTCCAACTTGGGGAAAGTAAGTGATGTGTTGTATACACATTAAAAAATTAGGTATCCGCGAGACCAGCAGTTGGCGTAATGGCTATGTTGCTGAACTCCCATGTAGTCCACCGTGGTTTGAGTCCTGGATCCAGTGGCTTAAACTCATGCTGGGTGCATGTGCGTGTGTGCCCAAGATTCTGAGAGAATGGAGGAGAAGGAATTTCGGCGTGGCCAACCGCCCTGGGGGGTGATTTCTCGCTTTTTGTTTCTCTGTCTTTCTGGCAAGCGCATGTACCCTATAGAACCAAAAAAAAAAAAAAAAAAAAAAAAAAAAAAAGGTATCCGTACTTGCACAAGGAGATTGAACTGTCTTGTCTGAAGTTCTTCTCTGCTGATACATTTCATTGTTCTGTTTTATCAGTTACTTGATTCAATCGACCAATTGTTATCCCGAGAAATATAGACACTCAATAGACACTCAAGTGGGAAGCAGCAGGACTTTGTACCATCAGTATGTTACTATTTCATAATTAAGGAAAACTGACCCTCATGGCTAAGTATCTTGCTATTCCAAATCTTTAGCCTCATTCTCTCAACACTTTAATTTTTTTTAAAGAATTATTTAACTTTATTTATCATTATTATTATTTAGAGAGATTTTTTGCTACTAGAGAGAGACAGAGAGAAAGCAAGCAAGAAATCACTTCCTGGGCGGCGGAGGGATGGCCAAGCTGCAATCCCTTCTCCTCTATTCTTCTTTTGGGATTTTGGGCATGTACGCACATGTGCTTGGCATGAGTTTTAAACCGCCAGGTCCAGGACTCAAACCATGGTTGATTACATGGGAGTCCAGCAATGTAACCATTTACACCACCTGCTGGTTCCTATCATCATTATTATCTTATTTTTTTCACAAATAGGACTTTTTATTTGTCACTATTTTTTTTTTTAAGAATTATTTTCTTTAACTTTATTTATTTATTTATTCATTTGTTTATTTCAATTTGACCAGAGAGGGACAGAAAGAGAGAAAGCGAGAGAGAAAGCGAGAGAGCAAGCAAGCAAGCTGCAAGGTCCAGGACTCGAATCACAGTTGGCCATGTTGGACTGGTGGTTCATATCCATCAGCTTGTTCAACTTTGGCACCCTTCTCATCCCCAGTAGCTTTTCCAGGGCTACGACCTGCACCATGAAGCTCCATCAGTTTTCCAATTGTAATTTGGGTTTGCTTCTTCAATATTTTTACTTTTCTGACGAAGACATCATGGAGAGCAAAGATGGACTGGCGAGCCTTTTCTATGTCTTTTCCAATGCCATCTGGAATCAGTTTATTGACCACTTCTTTCAAGTCATTCATCTGCACCTCCCAGGTCATGATTTCCATCATCTTCTTCTGGATTTGGCAGACCTGCTGATGCTGGGAATAAGAGGTCTATCGAATCTGACTATTGCATTTTACAGTAAACCCAACACAGAAGAGATAAAGCAAATAATTATCAGTAGTCTTGACATCAACACGAGTTTCAGTTATGGTCTGCCATTTTTTGACCATGGAACACATTTTGTCAGGAGTGAGGTCCATGCCATGGAAGTTAGTCACACAGTTTTTGCCCTGAACACCCCTCAGTAATTAGCTTGAATTTCCTAAATGTGACTTTATCATTCTGTAGATCTGCAAGGCTCACTTCAAACACACAGCCCTTAAGGCCATCAGATGCAGTTTTGGTTCCTTGAGTCCTGGTGACTAGCGTTTTCCCAATATTTCTTATGTTGAGTGTAGCAGGTGCTTTCGTGTCATACCAATCTCTTTTAGAAATGGATCAATCACTTTCTTCTTGCGCCCTTTTTGCCACATTTTGTAAGGTGCTTATTCTTGCCAACCGCCATGGTGCTACTCAGAGAGCCAAAAGGGCGGAAATCCATTATTATTACTTTAAATTTGCTACAGGTTATGTTCGTTTACCAAAGAGATAGAGACAGAGAGAAAGTGAAAAAACAAGCTGCCAGGTCCAAGACTCAAACTGCCATTTGCCATGCGGGAGTCCAGTGCTCTAACCACTGTGCTACTTATTGGTTTCCCAACACCTTAATTTAAAGCAAAGCTTTCAAGTCCAAATTATAGTTCAGTTACTGGATATTTTAACAGCTCTTTATCAAGTTTTTTTTTTCTATATTTACAGAGAATAATAATCTCTTTAAAAACATTTTAAAAATGTATTATTATTAACTTGTTATAGGACACATGTGCTCACCAGTGATAAACAGAGAGAGAGAGAACATGAGAAAGCAAGCCACCAGGTCTGGGATTTGAACCGTGGTTGGCCATGTGGGAGTGCAGCACTTTAAACACTACAGTACCTCCTGGCCCCAAGAAAAATATTTCTTCTTCTTTTCAGAAAGTGGTTTCGAAGTATTTTAATTCTGTATGGCATGATACAGCATAAAATTATATGCTGTGTCACATATTGAAAATCCAAATTTCAAAATTTTTCAATGCTGGGTCAAAAAATATTCATTATTTTGGGACCAGCAGTTAGCGTAATGGCTATGTCGCTGGACTCCACTTTAGTTGCCCGCGGTTCAAGTCCTGGACCTGGCAGCTTAAACTCATGCCGGGCGCGGATGCGTGCGTGTCCAAGATCTCAAGAGGAGAATGGAAGAGAAGGGATTGCAGCATGGCCATCCCCCTGGGAGGTGATTTCTCGCTTTCTATCTCTCTATCTCTCTCTGTCTTTCTGGCGAGCGCACGCACCCTATAGCAAAAACCTCTCCAAAAAAAAAAAACCAAAATCCAACTCATTATTCTGAAGCTGTCGGAATACAACTGCTAAGCTACAGAGATCATTATTGGCATTCTTTGTCTCAAATTTGCACAGAAAGATAAATGAAAGGCAAACAAATATAACAAAACCTCTACATTTTCAAAACCATGATGCTATAAAACCCATTTCAGCACTACTGTCTGGCATGCTACCAACTGTGCGATCAGGATGGGCCTGTAGTTTTTTCATAATACACCTTTTCCACAGATTTTCTGAAGACTCTGAACATAAACAATAAATTATAATCCAGTGTGATAAATACAACGATAAGCAATGAATAAAGTTTAGAGAAAGTATAGTATCTACTTACGTTAAAAAGTTGTTTTTTAGCATATGGTCTAATCTGTCCTTGGTAAGAAAAGACAAGAAGTAAAGTTTAAAAAATGTAATTATATTCATTATATGTATTAACATATTTAAAGAGCAGATATACTAGGCTTTATCCACAAAACTAATTACCTTTTGGCCTGGAGCTATAAATTTGTGACAGAGTTCAACATCTTCAGGACAATTTGAGAGAACCATCATGGTTGTGGATTTAAAGAGTTCTTCTATAACCTATGAAAAATGACACAGAATCAACCATCTGGCAAGTAAGCAACCTATACGCAACAATCTGATTAGGACTGACCCCTTAGGTTTCGGCAATTATTGAAGGACCAGAGTGACTCCATTTCTTTGGGGGGCGACTCCATTTTGTTAAACCCACCTTGCTGAGAATCAGTGCCATCTGAAGGAGGAAAGCCGATCCCATAGGAGAGGGTCATAATGAGAAGAACAAAAGAAATACTAGAGACCTGAAGTAACTTTCTTGCCCAACTTAATGGTCTGAAGACCAATCAGTAAAAGATAACTTGCTCCTTGAAATCTACAGCCAATGTATGGCCGCCTGAGTGCATTCCTCAGCACCTCTTGAATTCCCCCCTTAACAGCCAAATAAAAAACCAGCCCAACTAACACCGGGGCTCGCAACTCTGGTCCTCTATGTCGGTGACGGTTGAGGGCCCTGGCTCGAGCCTGAATAAAAGCGATCCCTGTGCATTATACATTGGAATCGGCTCCTTGTGGTCTCTTGGGAATTTTGCGACCAAGGCACTGCACTATAACCCAGTAGGCCTCTTCATCTGTGCCTGTACTACAGCAAACTGGTTGAGTTTTCCAGGTATCTCAATTTCTTCTCAGAGAGGCAGAAGAAAAGAAAAATGTTTGAATCTTTTTTTTTGGTATTTTTTTTGCTAGAGAGTCTGTGGACTCACTCAAGACAGACAGGGGGATGGAGGGAGAGAAAGTAGCCCCATTGGACATGGTCATGTCTGCAACCTCTTCTCTACCTCTTCTACCATTTGGGGTTTGGGACATGCATGTGCACGCATCTGGTGTGTTTCTCCATCTGCCTGGTTCCAAACTCCAGGCATGTGGTTGGCCATGGGGGTCCTAGCTCACCTTATCACCAAGCCATGGGCTGGCCTGCTTGCAACTTCTGTTAATAGTTCAGTACCGGTACTTGAGGGGATGTCAACTGGTCAGCTCTAACTGATCACTGATCTCTCTAAATTAATGAACTCACTTAGAATCAGGGGAAAATGCAACTAGTTTACAGAATTGTTATGAGAATTACATGGGATAATATCTCTCAAACTTAGCTTAGTAGCTGGCTCAGAGAAGCACACAACAAACATTAGCTGTTGTGAAGAATGGAAACATTCCAAAAAAGAGGTTCATTCAGTCACTGGTTAAGTTAATTTTAAAATTACAGAAGCAATGAGAAATATCTAAATATATGTTTTTGCTTTGCTAAAGGATAAAGTATACAACACAAGTCAGTATACAAGAATTCATGCTACCATGGGAGAAATTTGTTCTTCAAAGAAGAAAGTGACCAGAATGGAAAATTTTTCTGAAATCTTTCTAATCAAAACTAAAACATCTGGCTTGAAATCAAGGAGCTCACAGTAGTCTCTTAAAGTGTTAAACTAGGGACCAGCAGTTAGCATAAATGGCTATGTCGCTGGACTCCCATGCAGTTGACCATGGTTCGAGTCCCAGATCCAGTGGCTTAAACTCACACTGAGCGCATATGTGTTTGTGCCCAAGATCTCGAGAGCAGAATGGAGGAGAAGGGATTGCAGAGTGGCCATCTCCCCTGGCGGGATGATTTCTCATTTTCTGTCTCTCTCTGTCTTTCTGGCGAGCAAACGTACCCTGTAACAAAAACCTCTTAAAAAAAAAAGTGTTGAACTAACAAAGAAATATAAGGTTAATAAGATACAGGGTTTATAAGATACAGGCTCCCTCAAAGCTGGCGATCTTCTTTTCCTATGCATCACTGGTATATGCTGTCCAGACCAGGGACACAGTGGGGCACGACTGTCTCCTGAAGCAACTTCAAATGAACAGATGGAAGCCAGCACTAATACCAACTGACAACCAGATACCTCACTCAGTCTTCATCAGAGGCATTTATTATAGAAGGCTTGCTAAGCGCATTTCTGCTTTATCCTCTTACCTGCTATTTCTATGCCCATCTATCCTCCCAAACAAACAGGTATAGCTAATAAAACAAAAGAAATCGATGATTGCATGGGTATCTGAGGCACTGACAGCATAAAACAGTAAAGACAACTAATCTGGGGGCTGGAAAAACAAGTTAGATCAAAAGACTGGACAACAGTGAGGATGAAATGGAAGGGAGTAAGCAGACTTAAAGAACTTTCTCAGGACCTTGTAGTCTAAGGAAGGGAGAGATGTTTAACTTTAGACTTCCTGTAAAAAATGGCAGAGTAAACTGTTAAAATAATAGAAAAAGAATGTGTATGGGTTCTAAATCAGTGGAAGAGAAGAAAGGAAAATAAAGCCAGATGAAGAATCAATTGAAGAAAGAACAGGAGCCTAAGGATTCTTCACCTTGAGCAGCTACCACCTTCAGTACAGCAGGGAGATAAAGGAATCACTAAGTAACTGAAAGATTTATGAAGGGTCACATCACTAAACACAGCCAAAGGCCACACAGTGAGGGCTGGCCTGCATGGCCGAGGGGCACGGTACTACTCCTTCCAGGAGGCAAAGGCTGTGATCCCTGGAGGCTGTTAGGTGGTGTCTTTCATGAACAGTAAATTTCCATCCGAAGAAGAAAATCGCTGGCTTCCTTGACTTTCAGACTATGCTCTATAAATACATTTGAAGGAAACAGAAACTTAACCGAGTGAGGGTTAGAATAATCCTCAGATGTCACACTCAAATGCACTGAAAGATTTAATTGCTTATAATTCAGGAGGGAAAAAATCCTTGATTACATACTCTAATAGTTAAGAAACCAGTCTTCATCAAGATAATAATGTCCACAGAATGTAATTTATAAAAGTGAAAAATACTAAGAGAAGCAGATTATTTTTGTGGGAAGCAGAGTTTTTATTTATTTTTTCTGTCTTTAGGAAAAAAGTTTATATTCTAGTTAAGTAAATCATTAAAAAATGTATGCCTTGGGTATGACCAATGGAGTATTAAATTAGTAAGAACTCAAGCAGCAAACCCCCGACACCAAATTTGAATAGTCTCCTTATCTAAGTGGCTATTTATTTTACTATCATCATCATTCTTTTTTAAAAAAATTGCTATAGGGCATGCATGCTCACCAGAGAGAGACAGAGAGAGAGATAGAGAAAGTGAGAAAGCAAGCCGCCAGGTTCAGGACTCCAACCACGGTCAGCCACGTGGGAGGCCAGTGTCCCAAGCACCATGTCGTCATCTGTTGGCCCCAAGCGCGGCTTTATTATTAGGTTCATATAGTGCAGCATAAAGCCTGGAGTCAGTCAGAAACCTTGTATTGGGTTTCTGGAAAAGCCACATTTTTCTGTTTTTCTATGCAAAAATCCATCACGACTTTGACAGCCCAATATGACTGTAATAAATTGCACAAGCTGGGCTATTTTGACAGTGATGAGTAGAAACGTTACAAATTAAACCATTTTGTTTCTCTGGCTGATCAAGATGGAGTAAGTTCACTATAGCCTATCTCTCTAACCAATTGTAATGGAATCAGCTGGCCACAGCACAAAGAGCAGCTACCTAAGGCATGGAGAAGCAAACAGCATGAAGGTGGGGGGTAGGGGGGGTGGAGGGGGCAGGTGGCATGGTGGTTGGGGCGCTAGACTCCCACATGGCTGACCACGGTTTGCGTACAGGACCTGGAGGCTTACTTTCTCAGTGGCCCCCTCTTTCACTTTCTCTGTCTCTTACTGTTCAATCAAAATAATAATGATGACTATTATGAATAAAACTAACCAAACAAAAAGTCACGCTAGGTGGATCTAGAATAGACCAACCTGAACGAGAGCCTATAGCGGAGATGAATACCACAGCTCCCAGTCCCGCTCCTTTGCTTCCTAGCTTTGATTTGGGGTGAAATGTTGGACTGTCCAACAGGTGCAAGAAACAAAACTTTTGGGAAAAACCTATTTCTAGTCCCAGAACTGGAAAGAAGTCCTGGGGTGGTGGCGGGGGTGGGGCGAGGAGGGGGACTAGAGCCTTCACTTAGCAATCACTAAGTTGTTTTGTTGACCCCACCCTCACTCCACCCTTTCCCTTCAGGTTCTGCCTTTGAGGCAGCTTCTTACAGAGCTGCACTGTCAGGGTGACGGGTATAGCACCTGAAACTTCAATAGGTGACCTATTTCTCCAATCAGAGAGGAACTAGGAAACGGAAACTGCTGACTGAGGAGAGTCTATGTGGGGAATCCCCATTATCTTATTTATTTATTTATACACACACACACACACACACACACACACACACACACATATATTTTTTTAAAGAGACATTTTTGCTATAGGGAGTGTATGCTTACTGAAGAGACAAAGAGAGACAGAGGTGGAAAGTGAGAAATCACCCCTCAGGGGCAATGGTCTCACTGCAATCCTTTCTCCTCCATTGTCCTCTTGGGATTTGGGGCATGCCTGCACACGTGCCCAGTGTGAGTTTCAAGTTGCCAGGTCCAGGACTTGAACCACAGTCAGCCATGTGGGAGTCCAGCAATATAACCATTACATCATCTGCTTCTCCCTCCCCAATTAATTTTAAAAATCTTTTCTCTTGCCACTTTGACCTAAGGTAGCTATACTCACCTACAGAAGATAACAAGGTTGGGGCTAAAAACCTAGGAGAAACCTGTCTTTCTAACTATAGAAACCAGAGTTAAGAAGTCTTGGGGAGCTGGAGTGAGTGAAGGACATTCTGAACAGCAGGAGGTGACCCCTAATTCTGGATATGAACCAAAATAAGGCCAAGAGAAATGGAAACTTCATGTTCACACGAAATCTGCACATACGTGTTTATGCAACTTTGAGCATCATTTTCAAAACCTGGAAATAACCAAAATATCCTTCAACTGGTGAACAAACATACCAGGATACATGTACATTATGGAATACCCAACAGTAAAAGGAGCAAATTGTCACAAAGAACACAGACAAATCCCAAATACAGTATGCTAAGTGACCAGAGACATTCTCAAAGTCCACATATGGCATTGTTCAATGCATATGGTATTCAGAAAGGGCAAGATCACCTGCAATACATATACAGAGAGAACTGACTGGCCATTGCCCATGGGAGGAGAGCTGGAAAACAAAAAGACAGCAGGAGGAACTGGTTTTGCAGATCAATTTTTCTGCATCTTGACTACAGTCTTAGTTACAGGAGTGTACATTTCGCAACTTAGAATTATGTATATAAATTTTAAAAAATATTAAGCCAAGACAATAGGTACACATCAGAACTGTTCCAGGGAGTAATGTCCCTGAAACTGTTTTCCACCCGTGCCCATCCCATCTAAAGCCACTGTACTGCCCATCTCTCTGGGGTAATCTAACTCTTTTGATTAGTTTCAGACCTACTTTGGAATATATCTGAAACACCACCAGCAGACACAGTGTAGGGTATTCTCTGAATAAAATGACTGTGTTCTGCTGGTTCACATTATTCCTGAACATTAATCACCAGTGCTTAAGAAACTAGTCTAAAAATCCATCATGGTATCTAGAAATATCAACAAAGAGAGTAAATGGAAGAAAAGGAGAAAATGGAATAAAGAAATGAGTCATATCAAACATTTGGATTAGATTTGAAATGTTCTACTTACTTATAATAGAATAAAATAATTTCATAGACCTGCTGAGTGCAAAGCTGAAGATCTGGAACTGAAAGACTGTTCACTAATTTACTAAAACGGTAGCTTTACTTATTTTCAATGTTCTTGATAAAAGTTATTTTGAAAACCCTGTCATATGGTAGGTAACATATAATCACAGAGTAAGGGTTTTTTTCTTTTCTCCATCTTCTTTTTTCTTTTTGCCAGAGTGCATGCACTTGTCAGAGAAAGAGTACACATGAGAGCGAGCAATCCCCAATCGGGCATGATCTCATTACAGTGCCCTTTTCTTCATTTCTCCTTCCTATCCGCATTTCAGACATACCTGGACATGCACTCAGAGTGTTTTTCAAGTCACTAAGGCTGGGGCTCAAAAAGCAGTCAGCCATGTGGGATCCAACTCCTTTAACTGCTGTGCTATGGGCTGGCCCTAGAGTAAAGATTTTTAATGTTTAATAAATTCTAAGGCAATTATGCACTGTCTTTGTAACCTTTCCTTTTGGTGTCTATGTTGGGGCAGAGGAGGTGAGTTCAAGGCAGAAATAGGGAGGTGAGAAGTGTGGTTTCATTCATAAGATTCTTGCTGCCTGCGTGGAAGAACCAAGAATTGGGTGGTGGGCTCCACTGAAAGCTGATTAAGGTCTGTTCGCTAACTCTTGTGTAGCTCAGATCCTAAGCCCCATTCAGATTGGGGTCATTTAACCACATCACTTTCGACATTCTGGGCCAGATAACTCTTTGTCAGGGTTGGGAACTGTGTGGTCCAGGACACTGAGCAGCATCCCTGCCTTTTCCTACTACACAGCTGCAGCCTCCCTCCACCCCCTGCCCATGCCCTAGCAGGGACAACCAAAAGCGTCCATGGGGGACACTGCTCTAGCACAATCAGTGGGAGGTGTTAAGGGGGTCCATAAGTAATGCTATAGCATGTGACCCAAGCAGAGTCCAGTGTCCTACCTAGACCCTGGCAATGTTAACTGTCAATGGTTTGCACATGAGTTCCTCTTCAGGAATTATCCAGGCCTAAAGGTGTTGCCTCATTCAAGGTTATACCCTTCAGGGAGGCTAACGAGGCCCAATGACTGGCCACTGGGGAAGGCATAAACCATCAACCCCTCCATCCTGCCCTTATATGGGATGACTGCGAAGGATCACTCCAGAGCCAAAATTCCTTGCACAATGGCCTAAGGCCTCTGTTTGTAAAGGCATCTCAGTTCAACTTTCCCTCAGCCCTAAGCTCCTTTCTTTCTCCTTACAGGTGGTGTTTTCAGAACATTCTCCTGCAATTTCCCCACCCCTACAAATCTCTGACTCAGTTTGCTTATTAGAAAATCCACCCCAAGGCAAGGCAAAAGAATCATGAATCTATTTCATTCGTTATATAAATGACATCTGTTTTCAGTAGAACTGGAGACATTTAAGTCCTGGACGCAGAAGCTGAAAATTATCTACCCATTTTCTGGGTAGATAAGGGTAGAAAGATAAATCACTAAAATAAACATCCTATATTCACAAATCTCAACTAAGATGGTAGCCCAAATGCTACTGGACAGAGAATTAACAATAGCAGTTAACAGTTTTGGGGGATTTACTACGGGCCATGAATAATGCTAAGGGCTTCATATGTATTATCTGCCTCCTCCTCCCCCATGGAGTAGGATTCATTATTCCTATCTTATGGGTGAGGAAGTTGAGGCCCAGAAAAGTCAGACTTTTCTCTGAAAACACATACCAAGTAAGAGGTAGAGCTCAGAGCCAAACCCTGGTTGTCCGACTCCAGGACTGTGTGCTCCATCGGGATCATGTCCATGAGTCTTTTAACAGGCCTCTGGCCTGTTTTTTTTTTTTTTTTTGGAGAAATTTTCACTGTAGGGCGTGTGTGCTCGCCAGACAGACAGAGAGAGACATAGAGACAGAAAGCGAGAAATCACCCCCCAGGGGGGATGGTCATGCCGCAATCCCTTCTCCTCCATTCTCCTCTCGGGATCTTGGGCACGCACGCACACGCGCCCGGTATGAGTTTTAAGTCACCGGGTCCAGGACACGAACCGCGGTCGACTACGTGGGAGTCCAGCGACATAGCCATTACGCTAACTGCTGGTTCCCTGGGCTGTTTTCATCTTCCAGCTTCATATTGCTGCTAGAGAGATGTTTCTAAATCTAAGTCATCCTTCATATTGCTGCTAGAGAGATGTTTCTAAAATATAACTCTGACAACAACTTTTTCAATTTAGAATGCTTTTCCTTTACTTTTTGATAAACTCCTTAGCACGGCATCTGTATTCAGGGTCTTTTAAGATTTGATTCTTGACTGTCTCTTCGGCCTTATCCCCTGCTCCTCCACTGGAGCTCCGACAGCTCCTATGGATACCTTCAAGTGTGACTGCATAAATATCCAGGCAACTATAATAGAGTCTTCTTCTTCTAGCAAATAAGTGATTACTGACTTACTTTTATGTTCCAGACCCCACACTAGGTGCTTTATATTAGATACCCTATTTTATTTACTCCTCACAATAACCTTATGAAATAGGCACAATTATTCTCATTCTACAGTTGAGGAAGCTAAAATCTCTTGAATGTTAGGTAACTTGACAGCAAAGCACATGCAGAACTGGTATATGAACTTGATTCTGACTCTACTGCTTTAAGCTAGTACAGGAAAGGCACTGACTAAGTGTTTATCATAATGAAGTTGTTCTCCATCCTCTTTAGTCTGTGAAGACTAATGCACAAATGTCCAAGGTAAAAATATACAAAGAAGCATTTCGATGTCACCTGTACCTGATACTTAGATCTCTACTATTTCAAACTGTGCACTTACCTGCATGAGATCTTGGAGGCTCTCAACAAAAGACATCTCTGCCTCCACCATATAAAACTCTGCCAGGTGTCTCCGGCTCTGAGAATTCTCAGCTCGAAATGTAGGACCAAAGGTAAAAACTTGAGTGAAAGCTCTATAATTCAAGATGAAGAACAGAAAAATAGAATTCACACGATTAATTTAGGTATTCAAAATACACAGCAAACTTTCAAAAAAAGTTGTGTGCCTATATCTTGCCCACAAATCCACGTGTAATAGCTGTTATATTTCTCTAATGGGTGATAATAATAGTTTCATTAAAAATGTGACATTTATAGAAACCATTTTATCCCAAAGGAATCTGCAACTGTTTTACAAACCCTATGGTTTACTAAATATAGAAATATAACCACTTCTGGGTGCACTCAACTGCAGCTGTTTCGAACAGCAGGCAATACGTTTTATAGCAATCAACGATCAAGTAAAGAAAAAATATCGCAGTTCAAGAGACCACAGAGAATCTAGAAAATAACAGTCAAAAGAAGAATTTTGTGTGGATAAGGGGTGCTCATTTGTTTTACAAATACATGAAAAAAGAATGTCGTACGTGTCCATTCCCCTGTTTAAAGCCTAACAAAGTCCTTTAAGATCACTAAAGTCCTAATCAAAACTGAATAACCCCCGAAATGTGGTGGGGGTGAGGGCAGATTTTGAGGAACTATCTACTTTATTCTCTAGAATTCAAGAAGGAGCATAGATCAACCATCCAAACAGAAAACAAACAAACAAACACACACTATGAAACGTGAGTGAAACGTGGGACCAGCAGTTAGCGTAATGGCTATGTCGCTGGACTCCCACGTAGTCGACCGCGGTTCAAGTCCCAGACCCGGTGGCTTAAACTCATGCCGGGTGTGTGTGCGTGCGTGCCCAAGATCCCGAGAGGAGGATGGAGGAGAAGGGATTGTGGCGTGGCCATCCCCCTTGGGGGGTGATTTCCTGCTTTCTGTGGCTGGTTTGCGAGCGCATGTGCCCTAAAGCAAAAAAAAAAAAAAAAAATCTCTCAAAAAAAAAACCTATGAAACTTATTTATAAACATCAACAAAATATTGATTTGCTATATTGCTATAGGGCAATATTTTGCTAGGGCACATGTGCTTCCCAGAGAGTCAGAGTGAGAGAGACACAGAGAAAGTGAGAAATCAACCCGACAGGGGGGATGGCCATACCACTCTTGGGATTCTGGGCACACAAACCCACATGTCCAGCATAATTTTCAGCTTCTAGGTCCAGGACTTAAATGGCTGCTGGCTATGTGGGCGTCTAGCACCTTAACCACCACGCCACCTGCTGACCCCAATACATTATTTTTTATGGACCAGCAGTTAGCGTAATGGCTATGTCACTGGACTCCTATGTAGTCACTGTGGTTCAAGTCCCGGACCTGGTGGCTTAAACTCACGCCAGGTGCGTGTGTGTGCATGCCCAAGATCCTGAAAGGAGAAGGGACTGCAGCGTGGTCATTCCCCCAGGGGGGTGATTTAGTGCTTTCTGTTTCTCTCTGTCTTTCCGGTGGGTGCACGCACCCTATAGCAAAAACCTCTTAAAAAAAAAAAAGAAAAGAAAAGAAAACATAATCTGGGAAATGAAATTGTAAAACTAAATATAGTAGAAATCAAAAGATTTTTCTTTCTAAAGGCCTCTTCAGTTCATACACAGCTGGTAAGAAACTAAGGCATTATATTTTGGTTCTATAGTCACTTTTCTGAAACCATGATCAGTTAACTTCTAAGAACCTTTTCAAATTTTTTATATTATTATTCATACATTTACTTTTAAATTTTTATATTATTATTCATACATTAAATCGCTATACATCATTTAGATTGTGAAGAGACTTTACCCAGCATGATATACACCTCAGTCCAGTCCAGTTAATTGAAAAATAAATTGTAGAGGGCACCAGCAGGTTAAGGTACTGGACTCCCATATGGCCGAACACTGTTTGAGTCCCTGACCTGATGGCTTGAAAATCATGCTAGGCATATGTGCATGGATGTGTGCATGCTCACCCCACCCTACCCCCTAAAATAAAAAATAAACAAATAGTAGGAACTCAAAAGTATTACGGTCACTTCTCTCCCAATACTTATACTCAACTCGCCTATTAGAAAGTTCCAGAAAAGACTGAGTGCCCTTGTAGAAAATGAAGACTTGCCCTGCTTCCCAAAACAAAACAAAAAATGAATTAATATCCTGCTTTATCTTTGCATTTTCCCATTTTGTTAATCTCAGTTAATCCTTGGGACCAGCAGACAGCATAATGGTTACATCACTGGACTCCCCTGTAGTCAACCTTGGTTTGAGTGAACCTGGTGGCTTAAAACTCATGACGGGCTGTGTGTGCATGTGTGCCCAAGATCCCAAGAGGAAAATGGAGGAAAAGGGATTGTGGTGTGGTCATCTGACCCGGGAGAGTGGTGATTTCTCGCTCTGTCTCTCTCTGTGTCTCCGGTGAGTACATGCACCCTATAGAAAAAATTTCTCTAAAACAGAGAAAAAAAATCTCAGTTAATCCACGTGATCACCTAGGCCAGACCCTTCTGCCCACATATCTCCTATCATACTAATCACAAAATTCAATTGTTTACACCTTGACAAACTCAAATCTAGGGACTCCATCTCTACAGCTGTTGTCAGTGTCTTTGTCGCCTGCTTAGACAACAATAGCTTTTCTGGGTCAGTTCGTGGCCTGGTAGTTTCACAAGCTGTATCCTACATGGCTGACTATATGGCTCAAATCCTATACCTGATGGCTTGAAAAATGCGCCCTGTACGTGTGTATGCATTCATCAAAATCCTGAAGGAAAAGAGAGATGTGGAGAGACTAGCTTGACCATGCCCCATGGTGGGAGGAAAGGTGCTTTCTCCCTTTCCCTTCCTCTCCTCCCACCCTATGAATATACTCATCCTCTGGCAAATTAAAAACAAAACGAAACAAAACAAAAACCCAACAGCTTTTTAATTGGTTATTTCCTACCTGTCTTCCTCCAGCTCCACACTACCATGAGTTTTCAAACTCAAATCTGATTATATCAGCCCTAATTAAAAAATCTTCAATGACTGCCCACAGCCAAAGGATAAAATTCGAACTCCTATTTGGACTTGACTTTCCTCTGAGCACAGCCCGTTCTCAAGCCACTCCGAAGGTGCGCCCTCACTAGGATACCCCAGGTCCGTGCTCAGGCTGCTCCCGACCCTGTGATGCCCGCATTCTGCTCCTCTCCCCAAACGGCAAATCTGTATCTGTCCTTCTAGACTTGGCTCGTGTGTCACTTCCTCTTCGAACCTTTCCATACACCTGTACGTGCACTGCTCCCTACGTATTCCTGCAACACTTGGTTCATATATTCGCTACATAGACATCTCACTTTAACAAGTCCTTATGGATCCAAGTATCTTTCTCTACCAATAACGCATAAAATTTTCCAGAACAGGAATCATGTTTTATTCATCTCTGCATCTCCAGTGTCTAAGATAAAACAGGTGCTGGTGCTGAATGAATGAGCGCTAATGATGCTGACGGCCTCCTCAGTGGTAAACTGGAAAAGCACAGCATCCTCACACACAGCGTTACAAATATAGAAAGACGCGCAGATCGACTCTACTGAGGCAGTTACTCAATACTCCTTATACAAGGGGTACCTAAAATGGGTCGCACAGCCCAGGTCTGTCCCAAACAAAAACTTACAAGGCCAGCAGAGGGGGCCCGACAGTAACGGAGCGTTCTGTGATTTCAGGGCCACCCATGGAGATCCAAGGTCTTCCTTACAGGTCAGGGAATCACAGGCCCATGATCTTGGGTGGCTGAGGCTGGGGTGGGGCCCTGCTGGGGCTGCCCATCTCTCTCGTTCTGCCTCTCTCATGGAATAACTAAATAAATAAGCTTAAAAAAGAAATGACAAGGTCTTCAGTTTCTAATCTGTGACTATGTCATCTCTAAGTGGGTTGACAATATTTTGTCTAAATAAATAAAATGACAGTTCCTTCTGTTACTGCATCACAAGAAGTTGTATACACAGATTCCAACAAACATTCAAGGGTATTTTATTGCAAATGTTCACAGCATAAATACAGGTGAGGCATAGCTGAAATTTATTTTGGAGATCCTGAAGGACAAAGAAGGTTAATGGGATTTTTGTTCAAAAGAAACAATTTATTTGTATAAAGGCACTAGGACAGAGACAACGGTGGTTCCTAGTAAGAACTCTAAATTTAGATCACAAGGGTATCTGTTTCTCACATGGTGATTCCATGTAGGATGTTCCAAAATAAGTAACATAGAGATTTTCAATTTAACAATAGTTAGTGATTTTCCCCAGCAAGACAGGGCAAGTTCTTCAGTATAAAATGTAGAAGAGGATCAATAATTTTCATTTTAATTTAAAGGATCAGGTTCTGACCAAAGTACCCAACCATTAAGTACCTTTTCTTTTATTGCCAGAGGGCATGTGCATGCATGAGAGAGAGAAAGCACCTTCAGTGGGGCCTGGTCATGCTACAATCTTTTTTCCTCCTTTTCTCCATTCTATCAGGATCCTGGCACATGTGCACATATACCTGGCCATTGTTTTTCAAATCCAGGGGCTGGATTTGAATCATGGTTGGCCATGTGGGACGTGGCTCCCAAGCTTAGAGTTAAGTGTCATTTTTTTTTTTTAATTTTTGGAATTATTTTATTTATTGTTATTATTTTTTAATTTGACCAGAGAGAGAAAGAGAAAGTAAGAAAGCAAGCCACCAAGTCCAGGATTCAAACTGTGGTCAGACATGTGGGAGTCCAGCCCTTTGACCATTATGCCACCTGCCAGCTCCAAGTATCATTTTAAAGGTAAGAACTAATGACCATGGTGCTTCCTCTGAATTAAATAAATATAAAAGGAGCTGGAGGCACACTGAAACACTGCCCTAGTCATCTTCAAGTCTTTAAGCAGATGAATGTTTAAATTGTTCAGTCCTGGTCACCCTAAGTCAGCACACTGCTCCATTAGACAGTAATGATTCTAGTAGTAACAATGGGTATGATTCAAAAGTGATCCCAGCAGCCAGGCATTCAATAGAAGAATCTTAGAGGTAATTCAGTAAAGTACGTAC